GAAATTTGAGGCAAACTACTGCTACCAGTACCACTGGTAAATGCTCAAGGAGAAAGTAAATCAAATGGCCAACCCAAATTCAATCCACACAGATGAAAAATAGAGGCCTCAAGCAGGTAAAACCAAATCAATATTCAACAATGTAATCATTATCAGGAAATACGCCCAAATGGAGCAGTAAAGAAACGTAATTCCACCCTAAAATTAACCCCAGAAAATGCCCAAATCACCTCCTGCGTTATCCATCAAGAAACCCAAGAAACAAAAACGCAAATTCCAGCAATTTAAGGACTAGATAAATACTAATCAAGGTGGGTATTGGAATACCTCCACCTGCCAATTTTGGGCAGGTGGTGACGCACGGCAATGGAGGAGATGTGCGCGGAGCTGCTGGAGTTTGGCGAGAGGTGAGGCAAAGCTGATGATGGCCGCGGGAGAGAGAGGGAGACGAGGTGGGGGTGGCGCGTCTGGTGGTCAGCCGCTGGTGGCGCACGAGGTAGCAGAGCTGGTGGTGGCTGAGGTTGACCGCACGGCGGTGGTCTGTTTGAGTGACGCGCGCGCGAGGTAGAGCTAGTGGTGGCCGCGCGAGCTGGAGCGCGCAGGTGGAGATGAGAGATGAGCGCGGGAGGCAGCGGCGAAATGGTGGCGGCTGGAGCGCGCAGGTGGAGATGGCGCAACGGGCTCGCGGGCTGGCTGGCCGATCGACGGTCGCGTGAGGCGAGGCTGGTCGAACGCGTGAGGAGAGAGATATGGGGGGTGTAGGCGGCGCGCGGCTAGAGGCAGATGTAAATGGCGGTTTGCGAGGTGGAGAGCGGCGGACGGAGGTGTTGCCGAATGAAGAAAAGAGGGAAAAGGGCAACAGGTGCAGCGGGAAAGAAGAAGAAAAGAAGGAAAGAAAAAAGAAAAAAAAAAAAGAAAGAAAAAGAAAAGAGAAAAAGAAAAAGAGAGAAAAAGAAAAGAGAAAAAAAATAGTTTTTTTTTTTTTTTTTTGGAATCTTAATTTTTTTCTTTTTGGGTTTTTTTTTTCTCAATGTTTTTTTTTTTCAAATTTTTTCCTGAATTTGAAATTCCAAAATTTGAATTTTTGAAGAAAAAGAAAAATGCCTTTTGAATTTTTGAATTTTCTCAATGCGAAATTTTGAAACTTTTTTTTTTTCATGTTTTGGGTCGTCAAACACCGCGTGGGCATGCCAAGATTACAAAACATCCACTGATCTCAGGGGACCCAAACACCGCGTGGGCACGCCAAGATTGGTGTTCGTCCTCTGATCTCAGGAGACCTAAACACCGCGTGGGCACGCCAAGATTTCACTTCCTGATCACAGTGGAGAAAAATATCAAGACCAACTACTATCCAAATGAGAAACAATAGAACGAAAGAATTGAACAACTAAAAATAATAAAACCAATATTTGGGTTGCCTCCCAAAAAGCGCCTTTCTTTAATGTCTTTGGCTAGACATTATCATGTTTTGCTCATGGAGGATAAAATCTTGTGGCTCGTTTCAATGCTTCATCTTCAATGTGATCCTGGTAACCCTCATAGATGGAGTAATCTTTGAACACACGAGCTACGTGCTTCCATGGACTAGTTGATGGCACAAAATAATCAAACATTGATCGCAATTCTTCATCCACTCCTCCATCAAGAGCATTCAACGGTTCAAGATATTTGACCATAACTACTCTTAACTCATTCCTGCCATGAGACTCAAGAACTTCCGGTATAACAAAATCAATCTCATTAACAGAAATCATAGAGTCAGAGTTAAGAAAATACGGATTAGGGAATGGAGATGGTGTCACCACATTTGATGATTCTTCACTGGATTCTTTCACTTGAATGGGTTGCTGTTGGAGTTCCATTTCTTCCTTTTCGGCTTCTTTTTCAACTGCATCTGTACATCTCTCTTCTTGAAAATCTTGCAGCTCCTCATCACTAGTCAGGCGAATTGCACTCTCATTTTCAACAATGGTTTTCGAGGGCAATTCTTCAAATTGAGAAGCCAATCGATTTATTCTGGATGTCAATAGACACATTTGATCTTCCAGATTACTCATTGCCTCATTCATCATCTCATTTCTCCTTTGTGTATCCTGTTGGAATTGATATGTATTAATAGCTATTGATTCAACTATTTCTTCAAGAGACATACCTGACATAGATGATGATTCTTGAGACTCATACGGCTGAAAATTCATTGGCCCTGTCGTATAATTATAACTGGAGTTATCCCACCATCCTTGATCATACCCGTTTGGATTAGGATTATACCACGTTTGAGACCAGGGTGAAAAATCTCCATAATTATTGGGTGGGGCACTCAGATTATCTTGACATTCGGGGCACATACCGGTTGAATGATCTCTGGCATAACAAATTTTACAGGTTGCAGCAGCCATTCTTTCTCTAATAGAGTTTAGTGCCTCTGAATAAGCAAACTTAGCAAAAAAACTAGCCTCATTGTCTTCCCTGAAAACAAAATCCAGTCTATCACCAAAATACGGAGTGTTAGAAGCCATAAACTATATAAAAAAAATAAGAGAGAAATAAACAAATAAAAATAAAAACAAGATGAACTCAAAAAGAGACAAATTAATCTGACACCAGTCCCCGGCAACGGCGCCAAAAATTGACAGGTGCCGAACCTGTGCAATAATAAATACCTACTCGAGAAAAATACAGATTTTGTATATAGCGGTGAGTAGGGTCGAATCCACAGGGACTGGGGATAATTCGTTTCTTCTAGAGTCCAAAGTATGGGGGGTTTTGGATTAAATGCTAACTAAATAAATTAACTGCAGAAAATAATTAATTAAAAAAAATAACTATGAGAAAATCTAGTCAAGGGTATACTTCAGAAATGGTTCATGCACTGATCATTGATGCAAAAATAATTCCAACATTTATTAATAGATTGGTTATAGTTGTCATGCACGCGATAAACAACCAACCCTTCCTTAATTTATCGATAGCTAAGGTACGACCGTTAGCTATTCCTCTAACCCAAAAACAACCCTAGGTACGACCGTAGGATTTAATTTCTAGATTGCATTAATAATTAGAAAGGCCCAATCCTAACTAACAAATACGCTACGAGGGTTTGTTTAAACTAGATCATATGCTCCCCTGACATAAACCCAATTACGCCAGTTGCTACTAAGATAGAGATAACGAACAATTACGGATTCAATTACCTCTATTTAGCAAAATAGCCTATATGAATAATTAATTATTGCGCACTAATCAATCATACATAAGGACTATAACAATTAAAAACAGGAAACACATAAATACCAATAAATGAGGAAGCGATTAAAATAATTTCGATCTCACAGTAATTGTTGAACCAAGTCTTCAGTTGTCCCCTTCACTAGAATTGAGAAGCTAGTTCTCCATTAATGGAGAACCAGCTGTGCAAGAAAATAAAACAATCGGAGCTTTCTAATGTTCTCCGATGGGAAAAAGAAACTAAAAAAACTAAGCTCTAACTATTCGTAAGGAAAACTTCTGCACGTTCGTCCTTTTAAAGCCAAAGGGAAAATGACTTCCTGCTATCCAGTGGTCCCCGCCGACTAAGGAGTCCAAGAGCCAAAGAATTGAGGCTCTGCCGAAATTCCTCCTTGTTTAGTTTCCTATTGCTGGTCAAAGACTCCCATCAGCACAAAGAAAAGGAGTTTTCTTCTTCTCCTTGTGGGCCAGCAACCGAAAAAGGCTTCCTTGTAGCACCATATGGGGCCCAACTGTTTGAAGTCTCAATTGTATAGTGGAAAGTCCCTCATTTTTTGTAATTTTCTGTTCCACTTCCTGAAATTGAGTCCAATACCAAATATAAGTAAATATTAATAATTAAAACAATATTTGGTAAGGATAAAGGGAAAATTAACAATAAAATAACCAACAATTAACAACCTATCAGAGGCTCACTTTTTATTTATGGAGAAAACTGTGGAGTCATATCAGTTGATTGAAGATCTGACTTGTGTTCTAAAAGATATGGGATATCTTCCTGATATAAGTAATTAGATTCACAGGATTAAAGTTTGAGGAACGCAATCGCCTATGTGGCAGCCAATGCTATAGGTCGGATGCTGCTTTTGAAGAGGGGAGAACTTCTGAAAGCTTTAAACTCTTAGCCTATACTTCATCCTCAGTGTCCTGCATGCTATTTTCTTATAATTAGAGAAGGAGATAAACATTGTTATGGTCATTATATTTCCTCTAATGGTTAGGAAAGGCCTATACGTCAAATCTGTACGAAAGATTCAGAGGGATCTTTGCCATTGAATTATAGTGAGGACCTTTTGGAGATTGGGTAAATATTCAGATCAAATTGAGATGATGCCGGAAATCGTTCAGGAGTCAAGCTTCACAGTGAATGTCGGAACTTTTTTTTTGAATGTATTGGAATTAGTACAAACTGGCACTTGGTAAGTCATATCCATTGAACGGCCATTTCTTCCACTTGAGTTCTTTATGTCCTTTGATGCTCTGAGGGCTAAGGGCTTCTTAGCAAACTAGACAATTTGATCTTGTTGCAACTTTTAGTTACCATTTCTACATTCAATTATTGCGTCAATGAAGCATTCAATTATTACGTCAATGTACAGTTCATAAATCAAGTTCACTCTTTTCTGGTGTCTAGCATTCTAAAGTTCTAGATTCCTTCTAGTATGAATACACCATTGGGGGTTTGTAAAACAGATTCTTTATTGCCCGAATTCCTGATTTATATTCAATTTATAGGGAATGCTTAATCAAGGCTTGGTAGGTGTTCTGAAACTGTTACCTGATTCGCTTGTGGAACAATATGAAGGGGAAATCGACATGTTCCATTGATCTCTTGAAAAGATGAAAAAGAAAATTCCATACCTTCTGTTTGATTATTGTCCATGTAAGAGAATATTGAAATACACATGATGGAAATTGGACCAAGCTTCAACCGAGTGTTGCAGTTATAAGATCAAGTAAAGACACTAGATATGCATTGGATTGAATGGTTACACATGAGGGAGAAAAATTGCCATGCTGGCCGTTGGCTAATCTTTCATCATTCAGACAAAAGCTTGGTACTGAGGCATATGAGAACGTATGCTCTGTTGCAATTGACCTTGTACGTGAGAAAGAGAGCTGCGTCTCGGTCTGGTATCAACTGCCTGAACATGCATATGATATTTGGTTTGCCATATACTATTTTGCAAGAATGCTAAATGACGATATTTTGCTTGTCAACCAAGGTGGATTCAACATATTTTAAAAGAAGCATATAACTTGAAATAAGTTTTCATCGAACTGTTATACGACAGTCCTATTTTGTAGTACCCCACCATCTTTAGTAATTACTTTGATCATGATTACAGCTAGAATAAATTCATGAAATTTCTCTTTTGCTTAATACAGCGCAACAAAAACTCATGGTTGATCTTTCGGATCTCCTATACTGTTTTCCATGGGAGTTATAGCATTGAAAATTATAAAGGAGTTCATCATATAATTGTCATGTTGCTGAATATGATAATCCTGCTGTGGGTAATTTTTGGTCAAATTTCTATGCTGACGGAAATTGTCACCCTGATCTTTAACAGTATTCTACAATTTTCCCATTGGCACCCCATTTCTTAAAGTTACATATGAAGAGGTCAGGTTTCCAAGAAAGAGAATCATCCAGATCCTGCCTCCATTTCCGTATGGATTACTAGCCCAGGGTATGGTTTATTTCAATACCTAATGAAGCAATAAATGTCAACCTACAAACTGTAATAATATTATTGCCCTTCATAATGGAAATGATATGCAAGTTTTCTTGATCTTAATGTTTTCATATACTGGGATTGGCTTCTAGCTAAACCACTATATCATCTGGAGAAACAATTCTTACTAACTTGAAATACTAAAAGCATGAATTCAGCCCTAGGGGAAATAGTCATTAGAGGAGCTTTTGTAGATTTGATTGTATTAGCTAGATATCCAGTAGCTTAGTTAAACAAGTTTTGTTAAGAAAAGAATCAAAATATTGGTGACTGTGTAATACTACAGATCCATAGGTGGTAGCAGTGATGGAAATTTTTGCCTAGTTGACAGATGGTTTTTGTGTTAAAAGCACTCATCTTGTGTTGTTGAAAGATGTTCATGGTTTATTGCAACTTGGAACCACTTTGAAATTGTCTTATTTGTAATAAGTGCACTGCATAGTGGTTGTACCTATTTTTCCCATTTTGTGCTCATAGACACGGAAGCAGAGGATCTTATATTCTCAAATGTCAGAAGATGAGAAAATTGTTTAGCGTAGCAACTTACGGATACATACCTCATAACTGGTGCTTGAGGCGTTTAGGAATCATCAACTTGCGTTGTTGTGTGCACACTTATAACTTCATTTTTGTGTTTCAAATACAGACAATTCTGTCCATGGGATGCAGTCTCCAGAGATGGAATTTTTGATCAGGTAATGTCTACTTGAGAGATAGTGATTTCAATTATGAAAGCCATTAGGCTAGGGCTGCCAAATTTCACGGTTAAAATGTGAGTTTTATGGATTAAATGATTTAACAGCCTTTATAGAAAGAATCAAAATATAACTAACTACTGGAGTTGAATATAAATACAATAAACTCTGATGTGTCAAAGTCTATTTTATCTTCAATCAACTTGAAGATAACTAATTACGTGTCTAAATTTTTCAATTATTTTTTTAAAATTGTTTCTATCAGGAAGGGGTATGAGGGAAGGCATATTTTCAACTAAGTATTGAACATATATAATTGTGAATGAACAAAAGATGATATTCAAATCTGGAATTTGGATAGTTTGTTAAACTGATTCATATATGTGAAGTATGCAAGTAATTGATTTATTATGATATGTCTTGCAACCTTTCTAGTTCAAAATTCTGCTGGGCGTAATTTTGTCTTGTGAATGAAATTGTCAAGATTTATTATGATATTTTGTTCTACTCACCTTATCTTCTCCCCGTTTCTTAAATTCTATTCCTTCCCTTCTTAAAATTTTTTAAAAAAAAGCTAATTAGAAGAAAGTATTATTAACAAATCATTGTCATTACTACTACTAGAACTACACTGCTGCTACTACTATAAAAGTATCATGAGTTTTGGTGCTTTTAAGTGTACATGCACTTTTGTAGTCTGAGTTTTTGTTATTCTAATTATCTATGTAAACATTTTTTAAAAAAGGAAACAAGATAAAGAATAATTTGTCAATTTGTTTACTTTTAATCATTAGAATATGGATTAACTTTTTATGCACTTACAGTGTAGTGATTTTTTTATTACTAACAGTTTTAGATGTATGCTATATGTGTATTATTTGAATTTCAAATTTGAATTCATGTTTTCTTAGAATAATACCATAAAATAGGTGCGCTAATAATAGATTGTCAATAATACACTATATAGACAAGCACAATGTACAAACTTTCTTTTTTATTAAATCTACACAAACTTACATACAATAAGACAATAATAATTTGAAGAAATAAAGACTGGTTTTGTAACCACTTGAAATTCAATCTGGAAATTTGTAAGGCTACATATAGTTTCAACAAATGATTTTGAACAAAGCAAGTGGATGTACCTCTTCAACCATATTTACAATTATTTGAAATTTTACACGAACCCAAGTAAAAAGTTGACGTAGAGGTTGATCCATCAATGCCTTCTACTGTAGCTTCACTTTGAGCCATCAATGAGCATTATCTGGAAAACAAAGAACAAAAGCTAAAAGAAAAGGATAAAAAAGACAAGACATAAATGGAATTTCAAACTCAAGAGTTCACAGTTAGATATTATTAGAAATTTAGTGTTATATTTACTAGTTAATGACTTGCATCTTCTCAATTTAAAAAAAAAAATCATTCTAAACTATAAATGAATATTTCACATTTTCATTATACATATGGCTTTGTTAACACTTGATTCATTATTAATCACGTGTCATATTCTACAAAGCAGGCCTTTGTTTGTTGTAATTCTGTAAGCAGTAATTATTTGACTTCAAAGATGATAGGTACGTAAAAAAAGGTGTGAATAATCATACCTGAGCAGATTATTATTCATCAAAATATGTGAACTTGAGGAATGTGTGATATCTTTTTCCAGTCATCTCCTGTTTTGTCAGAGTAACGATCCCTCAACTTGTTGCAATGTCGAATATCCAAAATTTTGAGAGATGATATCTTTCTGAAGATGCGATGTGGCAGAGTTTCGAGCTCATGACAGTATTGAATTTTTAGCTCCTCCAGGCGTGGCATGATAGAGACCGCAACTTCTTCATCATCTTCACTTAAGTCTTCCCAATTTGTCCAATTGTTGCAGTCCTCAAAATGTAATTTTCTCAAATTCGGAAATGCCACTGCTTCAGCTGAGGATGATGACTCGGAGTTTGACAATGTATCAAGAGCATCACGACTATTCTCATGTAGTGCTTTTGTAACTCCGAAGAATTCCTTACCCAAACATTCTAGCTCTTCCACTTCCATGAGCTTGAGCTCTTCTAGGGATGATAGCTTTCGCAAGGCAAGCAAGGATGAGATGTTGTGGGGGCTAGCAAAAACTAGCTTCGTCAAGTTACTAGCGTGAGATTTCGCCACAAGCCAACTTGGTAACTTGGCTCCTGGATAGCCAACTAGCGCAAGTTGTTCCAAGTTTGGAGGTGGTTCCATGCTTTCAATGCAACTTGGAGTTTCTATAAAGTGGGTCCCATCGCTAAAGAACAAAAACATTTCACGCATGTTGATTTTCTTGCCAAGTTTTGCACTCCCAAAATCTACTTCTCCTTCGATTTCAATGACCAATCTTTCCAGTTGGTTCAGGTCCTTCAGAATTGCCAAATCATCAGAGTTGCTCCTGGCGATGAACCCACCCAAAGTACAAAGTGACGTCAGCTTCCCGAGTCCTTGTGGAATTTGACGCAAATCATCGGTGTTCTCATTGAAAAGGTGCCTCAAGTGTACAAGACCTTCAATCCTTTCAGGAAGGCACGAAAGCTTATCACAAAAAATGATATTCAGAGTTTCCAGATAATAGAGATCACATATAGCTTCTGGCAGTGTAATGAAAGGATTACCACTCAAGTTCAAGTGTCGTAGATGAAGCAACCTTCCGATCTCGGCTGGGATTTCATCTAGCCCACAACTTCTTAAAGTCAGAGTCCTCACGCACTTCAAATGGCAGAATAGATTTTGGGGAACTACTACTCTTCCAATTTTAAAAAAAGTTAAAAAGCTCCTGAGCCGTCCAAAATCAACGACTCGAGAACTAAACATCTGCTCCTCAGTGCCTTCTTCCAAAATTGTTAGATGACGTGGTCTTTCACTAGATGAATTTCTTCCAGTTCCATCAAGTGCATGACATTCATTTTTTTGTGAGAAATTGTGCAAAATCATGCACTATGTCATGCATCTTGCACACCATATATTCAGTTAACCCATAGTAAGCCTCAACCTTTTCTATTTCTTGAAAAAAGGAACCCATTGCCAAATTGTTGAAGTACTCAAGGCCCACCAGCTCCAAGCTCTCACCTCTCCGTCTTGGGCGAACATAACCTTGTGCTATCCACAGCCTAATAAGCTCTCTTTCTACATATATCACATGATCCTTGGGAAAGACAGCACAATATGAGAAGCAACGTTTCAGCTCCGGGGACAACTCGTTATAGCTTAAATACAAATGAGGGAAAAGTTCCACGGCTGCTTTCTCCAATTGCCATATCTCACTGTCCAAAACATTCTGCCATTGTTGTACGGTATCTTTGAACCGTAACAAGCTTCCCATAGTCTTCGCAGCAAGTGGCAACCCCTTGCACTTTTCTGCAATTTTCTGCCCAATTCTTTCCACCTTCTTGCATAAGTCCCCTGATTTTCCACCAAATGCTATCCTTTGCATTATTAGCCAACAATCGGAGTCAGAGATCAGGCTCAGGTGGTGAGTATCAGTAGATCCCATCACTCTGGCCACTCTTTGACTCCTCGTTGTTACCAAGATTACACTTCCCGGAGCTCCATCCTTGAGAGAGTATTGGAAAGGCTTCCACTTTGAGTCGTCCTCTGTCCAGACATCATCTAGGACAAGCAGGAATCTCTTGCCGGAAAATGTTTCTTTCAACAGTTGGAGCAGTGGTTCCAACTCTAACAAACCAGGAGGACTTTTTCCAGCATTCTCAAGGATAGCTTTCGCGACCCTATTCTGGTCGAAAGGATCTGATACGCAGATCCAATTTCTAAGTTCAAAGTGGTTCTGCACTTTATCATTATTGAAGAGCAGCTGGGCAAGTGTGGTCTTTCCACTACCCCCGGCCCCTACTACAGAGATAATTTGAACCCCATCTCTTCCTTGACTACTACTCTCAGACAATATTTGGTCAAGAACCTTCTCCATATCAGATTCTCGACCATAGACCTCTGATTCGTCTATGATTGAGGTAGTCATAATTCGTTGAAAATCATGAGAATTAGGAATACCCCCACTTGTAATAAACTTGAATTGATCTGCCTCTTTCAAAGTTAATTCTAGCTGTTCATTTATTTTCTTTATTTTTTGAGCTATATCACTACGCACAAGAAGTTGTTTGAGACAAGAACAAAGGGATGGGATAAAGGAACGAACCTTGTTCCGCAGTGTAGGCTGCGTTCTGGCATTCTTTGCTCTGTGAATCTTGAAGTTCCATTCGTCCAGCACATCATCCATCTCATATGTTATGTCCTCAAGCATTTCTAGCCAAATTCCAACACTTCTGTCCTTCAGCCTTCGTCTCTCTGCATCATGCAGCACTTTTTCAATGGTTGCCAACTTAGAGGAGATATTTGCAACCTCCTCTTCAACTCCCATCACCAGGTTGACCTTCTCCCCAAGCTGCTTCATGAGAGCATCACTTAATTGATCAATTATCTTTGGAACAATCAATTCAGCCATTGTTTATGGTTGTTAGCTGAGAATTTGTGTATTTCGAAGTGGAAAACTGTTTGTTTGTTTAGATTTAGAAACAACAAATATGTCCAGGCATGTATAGATTGGATGGCATAAAAAATTCCTTACTTTGATGCACACTCAATTAAAGAATAAAGCATTCCTTATTCTAGTGTTTGGAATCAGAAAACATTGACGTTAACCTTGCACACAAGAATATAGAGAAAAGCAAAGTTGTGTATCCCTCTTTTGTGTTGTTGAATTAATTGAAAAGCGTAAAACATGTGAAAAAGTGTAAAACAAATTGTCGGGACTCTTATATTTACAAAACGAATTGCTTGTTTTTTGAATACAATGATTATTTAAGGCAACAAGTATCAATTTTCCCAAATGAAATGAAATTAAATATGAAAAGTGACTAAAATGCAACGTGCGATGCGACCATGGTTTCTTATCGTATCTTTTTCTTTTTTCTTTTGGATAATGTTATTTGTCATAAAATATCTACTCTGTACTTTATAGGTGATTTATATAAAAGGGTCATATAACAATAGCATGCTATCTGTTAAAGGGTTGTTTTTATTTATGTTTGTTAAGGATTTCTTTTTAAACATTTTAACAAGTGCCCATTGGATACTCTAACCTCTCATTTCATGTGCGAGAATGCTCATAATGGAAAGATCTTTGCATCTGAAATGGTAGGGAAAAAAATTATCATTCTAGAGTGTCTAGTAAACAAGTTAGAGTGGAATATTCATTCATTTTCTAGTATTTATTATAATCAATATTTAAATGTCAAAATAGAATATAATTAATAGAAATTTGACTTAGTTACCCATGATTAATTTATAGGGCATAATATGCTTATTACTTTTGTTTTATTTGTTCTACTATATTATATGTTGATTTACATAGAATTTTGACATTTTTAGAATAATTGAAGATTGATATTAAAATTTTTCAATTGTAATACTTGATTCATTCTACCATACAAATTTTTATGCTAAATCTAACAATTGCTTAGGATTTCCATGTAGCAAAAGCAGCTTGAGGGTTATATATATATATATATATATATATATTCTTTCTTAACGATTCCATTTCACTACTAAACTTTTTTCTTTTTCTTTTTTTCAATTTGAAGATAAAAAATTTAGAAGCTAGCTTTGGATTACTTACTATGCTTTGCAGCAAAGCAATTCATTGTCGAGTTTGATACTGTGAATGAAATGCATAACTGACTTAGATGAATATTTCAACCGTGCATTCAAGGTTTCCCTCTTACATGAATTTGCTTGAACCATAATCTCAGAATCACTTGCATGATTTTCAAACAAAATTCTGAGCTATAGAAATGAGATGGAAACCATCCACCATTAAAGTATTCATTTCCTTTTGAACAATGAAGGGATCTTCTTCTAGCCTTCTTTTTACTATTCTTTTCCCCTTTACCATATCCACGTTAATTTCATTGTTGCGTGCAAGGCTAATAATCACATTTCACCTAAATATATGCTCATGAGGCTGTTTTATCATGTACTAAATTCTTCATACAAGTTTAATGATCAATACCATGTGATGATTAATATTTATTTAGGTTAATTTAGACTATATATTTCTAATTTTAATGATCATTAAAAAAGAGAAACCTTACTCACAATTTAATTTGTGAGACATTGGATGAAGTAGAATAAGTTCAGGTATTTATAGATTAAACAGCATAGAAAATTTCTTACTTTGATGCACACTCAATTAACCAATACAGCATTCGTCTTGATCTATTTTAACAAAACAACTGATATTCATATTCCAGTTGTTGGGAATCAAGAAAAATTGGCGTAAACCTTGCACACAAGAATAAAGGCAAAAGGAAGGTCGCGTATTTATCCATGATTCTTCTTAATCTATCCCATTTTTTTGTAGTAGAGTTAATTGAAAAGTGCAAAAATCTGATGAAAGTGTTGCCAATGACCACTTTGGGACTTGTTAGAAGGATCTTATTACACTTCAAATCAGGATTCTTATCCTTACAAGAAGCACTGTCAGATTTGTGGAATGAAAAGTTTATTTGGTGCACCAAGTGTCAATCTTTCTAAATAAAAGGAAATGTGTGTCTATATATATAAAAATATATATATATATATAGTTCTGATTTTAATTAGAGTTATTTCTCACTCCTACATAACAAGATTAATTGAAAAGTATTTACAGATCAATTTGTTACAATTTCTTGGGAGAAATTCCCACCAAGAACTATCTGATGTAATTAGCCTTTTTCTGGGTTCTAATTTCCCTATCCCTCCCCACTTCTTATATGTTCTTATTTTAATTAGAGTTATTTCTCACTCCTACTTAATATGGCTAATTGAAAAGTATTTACGGATCAATTTGTTACAATTTCTTGGGAGAAATTCTCACCAAAAATTATCTGGTGTAATTAGCCTCGAAGGCCTTAATCTAGTAATTAAAATTGAAACCCCGGGAATTAGAAGTCCTGGATTCTAATTTTCCTACCCTTCCATACTTTTTAAATCTCACCATATATGCATACATACATAAACACATACATACATACATGCATACACACACACACACACACACACAAATATATATATATATATATATATTTCCTCCGCACTTGAACTATTGCTTGTCCTCAAATAATTTAAAAAATACAAGTCAATTATGATCCAAAATTTTGAAATTAAACATATGTGCACAATTCAAATTCTTTTTTTTAAAGCAAAGTAAATAACCATTATGCAATCATTCAATTAAATTCAAGTACTCATAATATCAAGTAAAGGAGAGCCAATTATACCATAATTTTAACTAGTTCAACTCAATTCCTCATCATTTTCCAATTTCACAAGCAAGTAATTCCTATGGTCAATAAAAATGCTTCCTAAACCCATACCATCTTCTTTTTCAATTTTAAAAAGGGATTTATTCATACAACATATCTAAATATTTACTCAAGTTATGAAAGTGCCTTTTGACGTGAAGATCGACATTTTAGATGAAGATCGCCAATTACTCAACACTTCACTTTCTCAAGTTGCTTTGCATACTCTTAATTCTAGTACCATTTTATGCAAAAGTTGATATTTATAGATGAAAACTTCCGGTTACTAAATACAAGAACCCTTGGAGTAGAACCACTCTTATTCTCTCTTCTTCTTTTTTGTTTTTTTCTCTCTTTTTTTTCCTTCTCTTTTCTTTCCTTTTTTTTTCAAAGTAAAGATAATAATCATTCCCTTAAAAGAATAATCATGAGAAGAGTATTGCAATTATTGATTATATTCATCACTCAACTATGTAAAATCAAGTAAAGAAAAGAAATTTCATCAAACATGCAAAATTTAAGCATAATTTTCTGTACTTTTGAAGATATATTTTCCTGCAAATGTAAAAATCCTAGTCGCATAATAACTATTTTCAAGTCAAATGAGAAATGAAAGTTTCAAGTCACATATATTTATTTCAAAAATAGAAGAAATTTGAGTTACTGATGGCATGGAACTTGTTGCTCTTGGATAAAATTGAAAAAATTTAAAACATTTTGGAGCAATCTTGCAATTTTGGACAAGATTTTGGAAAAATTTTGGCAGAATTTTCCCTTATAAATGGATGAAATTCCTTACTAACAAACCCAAGTTTGAAAATTTTCTAAACACAATAACATTTTCAAGCACAAGTCCAACATTTTCAACCAACAATTCAATTACATATAATGCATATAATCTCACTCCTCACCCCGCTACTTAAAATACACATTGTCCTCAATGTGTAAAAAGAAAAACGAAGATAAAGAAAAGAATACTCCCCTATTGATGTGATTGAAGTGCACAAATATAAATTTCACAATCCATCATGAAGTTTATAATCCATTTGCCACAATTCTACAAAAAGGAAAATTCATAAGTTCCATTTATAACCATTAGTAATACAAACATAAGAAGTGAAAATGAGAAACAAACTACTATGGTTCAAGAAATGCAAAGGTAATAACAAAAAGTATTAGTAAACATAAAACGCCGATCCGTAACTCTTCGCCTTTGTCTAGGTGATGTACCCATATAAAATTGACAAAAAACTTCTCAAGATACAATGAAACACTTCACTTCACACATTTTGTCCTTTCACCCTAAATACCTTACTTTTCAATTATAATGCAAACACGCTCCTTTAGGTATTTATTGGATCACCATATCATAACCATTAGGAGCAAAGTCAAAACATGGATAATATACTATGCACACATGCAATTTTCACTCGTAAAATTCCACACAAATTGCTAAATTCTTCATATATTCAAAATTCATCATCATGCTTTATATGAAGATTAAGCAATAAACTTTCATTTAAATGCATCATTTTTTTAAACTAGATAAATTAGACATTTTCTAAAGTTTACAAATTCAAATTTTCTAAAATGTCACCGTATAATGAATGTGTATATTTAAGCATCATAAACAAGTCACATTTTTGCAATTATGCTTAACAGCATTCTAAGACCAATTACCACATTGATCATAAAATAGGAATATGCATAAATTGAAACATTGTATAGATCATTATATTCCCACATTTGATCATGTAAACATGCTTCAATATGTTAAATAAGTACAATATAACTTATATATATCAACAAATAACATCACAAATTCATCATTCAAAGTGTGTCAAATGGTGAATAATCATGGTAAGTTTAAGAATTTAAAATATGCAAATAGTGAATTTTAAAATACCAAGTTAAGCTTAAGAAGCTTACCTCAACTTGGTAGAGTGATCTTTGGTGATGCAAATGATGCCAAAATCCGTATGAAAATTACCCCAATTGACCTCCAATTGACAGAATTAGAAATTATGAACCCTAGCCTTCAATCTCTTGAAAATCAATTTTTGAGATGTTTTATGTGAATTTCAATCGGTCAAAAAGGCTCTAGGAAGGTCAAAAGATGTTGGATTGATAATTTCGTGCAACAAAATGGTGTATATGAGAAGATTTGTGAAGTGTGTGAAAAACGTAGGATTGAGAAAGAAGAAGG